CTGAGTCATTTGAAAATAAAATGGGACTATGAACAAAACTGTGACCTGAGCGATGTGCAATATATGTACTGTGACCGATACTGTGACCATTTGAAAATAATATGTGACTATTAATAAAAATGTGAGACGTGAGCCTTATTGTGTTATCAATTATTATAAACAAAAAATCACGTATTGTGACCTGTGACCTAAGCTGTGACCTGGACTGTGACTTGTGACCTGACTTGTGACTTGGGCTGTGACCGTATAAAAAATTGATGTCATCGGAATAGTCGTCGGAATCGGAGCAGTCGCCGGAGAAGTTGCCGGAATCGGAGTGGTCGCGGGAATCGGAGACGTCGCCGGAGTGGTCATCGGAGCAGTCGCCGGGGGGGGAGTTTCTTCCCATTAAATATAAACTTCGTCCCAAATTATAGCCCTTAATTACAGCCGAAATATTTATGTCAAATCTCCTAATTACACCACCTTCCTTGTTACACCATAATCATATCTCTTATACAAGAAATAAAGTCTATTCTATATTTACAATGTAATTATGTATATGATGTGTATGATATACAGACATCCCCACTCAAATTGACGTTGGTCAATCATACAGTATCATTTTTCAATCATGAACTGATGTTGAAGACGTCTGAGAGCCTTGGAAAATATGTCAGGGATTTGTAGAGATGTGAGGAAGTGTAATCGCTTGTTGGTCAAATGCTTCTCAAATGAAGTGACAATCGACCTCAATATGTTTGGTCTGCTTATGAAATATTGGATTAGCAGCAATTTGAATAGCTCTTGTCAACATGACAAAGCATAGCATCAAAAGCAGGAAGAATGATAGAAGCGGAACATGTGACTGGAAGAAGTATTTATTTTCAAAGAAACCACATTTCAAGAAATGCGTAGCTTATTAGTGTCCGCATCGTAATACACAAACCCCTTGTGTGTAGAACTATATCCCATGAAAGCACACTTAGCCGCTTGAACCGTAAGCTTGTGACTTTGATGGGTGGTAAATGAACAAAGTAGGCTCAACTAAAAGTGTGTGAAGAGTGATAGTCAGGAACATTACCAAACAAGTGAGAGTAAGGAGAGTCATAGTCCAACTTGCTACTTGTTCTCCAGTAGAAGATCTTATACTAGTTCGGCCAGAAGATAAGGAACCTAGATCACCAAAAAATCGGTAGGATTACCGACCAGAATTTCGAGACCAAAAAACCTTAAGAAGATTGTAGAATCAGCTCTGACACCATGTCAAAATCATAGAATTGTCTCAATAACTCTCAATTAAGAGTTTCTTCCCAACTATTCTATATTCACAATGTAATTATGTATATGATGTGTATGAAACACTGACACTTTAAACCTAATTATAAATTAAACAGAACATAAACAACTCCCAAACATGACCTTTGGTATGAAATCTATGGGCGGGAATGAAATCTAGAAATTATTTCCAACTTTTCCACTTCAACAATTACTTAATTCGCTAAAAGTTTATTTTTTTTAATCTTTTGGGTTTATATTGCAGGAGATATGAATCTTATAAGAATGTGATATAAATCTGAAGGGGTGATATTACGTTGCGTGTGGAAAGTGAAAGGAATGTATTGTAAATAACCGGTGGAAATGTTGGTGAAGAGAGTAATTTTATAGAAATGGATTGGCAGGATCTCCTTGAACATGATATTTATCATGATTTAGAACTTTATAGGTTAAAGGGTGAACTATTAGGCAAGGATTCAAATGAGTTTGCAAAAAAGTTTAAGAAGGCAAAGAATGTGAATGAGTACAGGGACCTTGTGCTGTATCTTTTAACGAGGGATAAAAGATCTATATCGAATAGGGGGGGAAGAGAAAGTCATAATGACTGCATTCATAAGGAGAATGATGCCCTTGATGGGCATTTGTTGCGTAATTCTGATATTAATTATGATTTAGAACTTGCTAGTTCAGAGGATGAACAACAAGAAGCCAGGAACTTTATGACCTCACAATCAGCGTCTCTAAAAATTAGGTCTGGAACCCTTAGGTCAAAAGACAAATTGTATGAAAGGGTTATATCAAATAAGAGAAAAAGAGAGAAATATGATATCAGTGTGCATGATGATTACGGAGATATTGAGGAGAATGATGCCCAATATGAGCTTTTCTTGTGCAATCTTGAAGCACATGAAACGTCTTATGTATTCAAGGGTGAGAAAAATGGTAGTGTTTTCATTAAATATGAAACTGGAGATAGCGATTCAGACGATAGCAATTCGGATGATATCTTCCCTACACAAATAGTGAAGGTCAATCCAGGAATGCAATCTAGATTTAGGAAAAAGCTCATGCATGTTCTCAGAAAACCATATGATAGAGAGGAATTCGACAAGCTTCGGCAAGCCATCAAAGTACGCAAGCCAGTTGATTGCCATCTGGAATTGCGTTATGGGAGAGAGAGAGCATACCCAAAAAATGAAGTTGGAAAATCATATCTTGATCGCTATCCGGGTAAGTTGAAAGACCCTGCAGATTTATGTTTGGTATTGCAATGTTTCATCACTATTGATGTTTGATATCTGCAATGACAAGTTCATGAATATCATGACTATTCCATGTGTATGCTAAATTCACTTGGATAACTTAACCTGCATTTTAGTGCAACATTATTCATAAATTATGTAAACTTGTGGCCCATCTTATGTCATGTCCCTTCCATGGATTAAAGTAATTTTTATGTCATGTCCCTGTTACAATTCTGAAAATAATAATAGCTGCATATAACAGTGCTAATTCTGTCCGAATGGCTGCTCCCACCTGGGGTTGGCTTGAAATGCAAATTTATAAACCTAGCACTTTAATTGTATGAGCAATTCCTAAATAAATCTATTAGGAAAGAAATGTACAGAACAAGAGAAAAATGTAATCAGCTCTAAATTTGTTGTGGCTATCAACCATCTTTATTTCTCTCTCTTCGTTCACCAATTTTTATTTTTTTTGAATTGAAAAGCTTCGGGCCTGTTCTCTTTACCATTTTCAGAGTCTGTTTGGTACAGATTCTCATTTTCTACAGTAAATCAATTCTCATTTTCAACCACATATTCTTCAATAAAATAATATTTTCCATCACATCAATACTTTTTTTTTTTTATTTTTCAACCACNTTTTTTCTTCTTTTTCAATCACACATTTCCCATCATATCACTATTCAAAAATCAATTCTTCCCCCAAAAATCCCTACCAAACACACTCTCAAACTGTTTTCTGTTTTCGATTTTCCAAAATAGTGAAAACGCATTTTTGAAAATAATTTAAAAATTTACAAAGAGAAGTCAAAATGATTATCGTTTTGGGTGTTTTCAGTTATAATCAAACCAAAATTTTCAAAATGTCAAAAAGAACACATTTTCAATAATCTCAAAATGGACACTCAAAACACAAAATATAAAATGAATTCAAAACTGAAATACAAATAGAACAATCCCTTCATTTTTGAGTCAATTTACTACTTAGTTTTTCACTACATTAATTCAGGATTTTTTCTTGGGAAAATGATTTGAGATATATATCTTATTGCGTATAGATCTTAAAGAAGCGCTCTTAAGATGCCAAAGCGACAAACCAAGATTCTTGAACCTCTTGCGTGGATTCTTCTTTTGGCTTCAAGTAAGTGTAACTTTCTTTGTTTCATCTTTGAAAACGTCATGCGTAAATTACCACGTGAAGAGAGATTACAATAATGGAGGCAACTAAATGGAAAATCCTTCCAAGATGGAGAATTTGTTACATTCGTGGAAACACAGTCATGTAATGATCCCTTTGACATGAATATCGTGTATCCAATGATCCCGTTTAGGCGTTTACATAAAGACAAACTTGTGTTATTACATCATCTGTTTTTTTTCCATTGATTGTTTTAATTGTAAGTTGATTATGAGCTAAAGAACTTGTGTCTATTTTTTTTTTTTTTTGAATCAGCATCTAACAAGGGAAGGAGCATTCCAACCTTGGAAGGACCCACAATGCCTTGCAATGGAGCAAATATGTCGTTCCCCTCCCCCGCAGGGAAAAAATTAAACAAACAAGTGACGTACGGAAAGTAGCTTAAGCTTGTGGAGGGAATGTAATTTCCTTTTTCTCAATCATACTATTATGCTGGTACAAGAATGAGAAGGCAAGTTCATGCATATTTACAAGTATATATAGTGATATCTTACAGCTAGGAACCGGAAATATGATTTGCATCATTTTGATATGAATCTCGATTACATAAGCTACCCATGTTTCGATCAATTATAGGTTCCATTTTCACAGATCGAGTGCTTCATTGGTAATGCATACAACCTCTTAAGCGTCACCGTCTGCTCAAGCAGATGCCCTACTCGTTCTGAATGTCAACTAGTCGACTGCACTATGCTATATAGCTTTTGTTTGATAATCAGTATTTGAAAATTCTTTTTTCTACACACTCATTTTTAATCAAACATTCACATATAAAAATATTCTGCAGGTAAAATAAAATTTTTTTCCTACTTTTTAATTACATGTTCTTTTAAAAATCACTGTTCAAATTATTATTTTTCCAAATAATAATGGTCAAATATGGGCATTATTTACTTTAATCGAAGTACAAACTGACGTAACTTAAGATGTGACGAAAATCCTCAACTTGTCCTTTCTCGTAACGATGATAGAATTGGTTTAACCAAAAATTGTGAATCCTAAATTAGTGATTGAATAATATGTCATCAGATCAATCTTTAAGTGACTGCGAAGTGTGATTCTTCTTCCCTTGAAAATTACACCAAACTCGATTTATAAGAATTTTATACGTTTTTTCAAAATTTCCAACAAAAATATAAGTTTCAAATTTAAATACAAAATAATAAGTAAATAGTAAGAAATTATCTATCGTAAATAAGATTCGTTGGTCACTTGACTTTTGGGTTCAAATGGTTGTTTTAATTTTAAATTATGGCAAACTAAAGAAATTAGCATTTAATAATTTTTAATTTCAAAAAAATTGTAAAGAAAAAAAAGATGCGCCTAGGCGCGCATTAGCGGTCAACGACAGTTGTTGATCGCCAAATAAGGCGCTAACCTATTAGGCTTGACGTTTTGGCCTTGCCTAATGCCTAGGTGCCTAGACGCGCCTTTTAGAACACTGATTTTAATAGATAATCGAGTCATTCGTACTCATTTGTCAAATAAGCTACTTATTTTTGTATTTGTTGTACTCATGCACATGTGGCATGCTTGCTTAAAAATATGGTTATTGTGAACTCTTTAGAATTACTTCAGAAACCTTCACTTTATCAAGACATGAATTTGGAAAATTATTCAAACCTACACTTCCCTTTGTTACCCAAGTTAGGTTCAGCTCGTTGAACCCAACGAGCTGAGCCAGGTTGTTAACCAAGAGGTCAGGCTCTGCTCATGTGCCTTTTCGTGTTGGGCCTTGCAACTAGCTTGACCAAGAGGCACACTGGCTGAACTCAGGGGCGTAGGCCTAATACGTCCAGTGCAGGCAAATGCCCGCACTAAACGCCAGATTTTTTTTTTTTTAAGTTAACCCCCCTCCCAGCCCAAGGTTGAAAGTTGAAACACCCACTGACCCAAGCCCAATAGCAACCCTTCTTCTCATTCGTTTGGAATTGGGGGCAAAATCAATTTTCAATTTCATTCTCCTCTTCATTCTTCCTTCTCCCGTCGCCCGTTCCAGCCTCATCATTGCTCCGCCCCTGGCTCTCCCGTCGCCGCCTGGCCTGCCTCCAGTCCGCCCCTCTTCTCCTCTTCTTCCACCCGATTTATATGTGTTCTGTCCGTGTGTTCCCCTCTTCGACTTCGCCCCTGCCTGTTCGAGCTTCAAGCTTTGTTCGACACTTCGAGGTTCGAGCTGCAGCAGAAGAAGAACTGAAGAAGAAGCCAAGAAGGTGAATAATGTTTGTTATGTTGCAGTTTTTTTCTGTTATTTCAGTATAATCTTTTGAGTGACTGAGTGAAGTTGAATGTTTGTTGTTTTTTCTCTTTAAAATTTGAAATTAGGACTTTGATGTTAAATTGAAATTGAAATTAAGACTTTGATGTTAAATTGAAATTGAAATTAGGACTTTGATGTTAACATTTGAATCTGTGAGTGAGTTAAATTGAAATTGAAATTGTGAGTGAGTTATTTTGCCTCTGTGAGTGAGTTACCTGTGCCTTTGCCTAATCGCCTTTGCCTCTGTGAGTGAGTTAATTTGTAACTAGAAATTGAAATTGTGTATTGCACTGTGAATTGAGTATACTATTGCCCTGGGAAATGAAATTTGAATAAATGAATTGCTAATAGTGGTGCTATTAGCTACATAAATAGAATTGTCCTCTGAATTGCCCAGTAAAGTTGATTGTTCTGACTGTTTGTGTAAAGTCTAATTGATTGTCCCTTGGTAGTAATTGTCTAATTGAATATGGAATGTTTACATTCAGATATCAGATGAAGAGATACTTTCAAAGAAAAACGAATGTAGAAAATGTTGATGAGGGGATATCGAATAATGTGGAATTTGATGTCCAAAACTTCCAACTGATCCTGGACTAAGGTACCCATATTGGATTACAATCATAACATTCGAGATGAAGTTCGAAGAGTATATATGCTAAAGGGTCCTTGTCAGCCTCAAGATCACGACTTTCCAAAACGACAATTTGGAGTAATTGCTAGACGGTTCAATTCTTCTTGGTTTAAAGTGTCCGGTACTTGGTTGGAGTACAGTGTAGAAAATGATGCTGCTTATTGTTTGTATTGTTATATTTTCGAAACAAGTTCTGGAAAGCAAGGTGGATGTGAGTCTTTTGTTGGTGAATGTTTTACATATTGGAAAGATAAAAAAAAAAGACTTCATACTCATGTTGGAGTTCATGACAGTGCACATAATCAAGCTCGCATTAAGTGCGAAAATCTGATAAATCAAGAGCAACACATTCAATCAACTTTACACAAACAGTCAGAACAAGTAAGAAGTGCGTATGTTACACGTCTTAATGCGTCTATTGATTGTGTTCGAATTCTATTGCGACAAGGGCATTCATTTCGGGGTCATGATGAATCTAAGGATTCTCTGAATCCTGGTAATTTCTTAGTTCTATTGTAATTTTTGGCTGCTCATAATGAAGATATAAATGCCGTCACATTGGGGAATGCACCTCAAAATTGCAAATTGACATCACATGATGTTCAAAAGGATATAGTAAATGCTTGTGCTGTTGAAATGATCAATGTCATTATCAAAGATGTTGGCAATTCACTATTTTCTATTCTAGTTGATGAATCTCGTGATGTGTCAATGAAGGAGCAAATGTCAATTGTATTACGTTATGTAGACAGTAGTGGACAAGTGAATGAACGTTTCATTCGGATTGAACATGTTATAAGTACAACGACTCTATCACTTAAAGCTGGAATTGATAAGGTCTTCTCCAGATATAACTTGAGCATGTCTAGATTGAGAGGGCAGGGTTATGATGGGGCAAGTAATATGCAAGGGAAGTTTAATGGTCTGAAAGCACTCATTTTGAAGGAAAATTCATGTGCTTATTACATTCACTGTTTTGCTCAGCAACTTCAACTAGCTCTTGTAGCTGTGGCAAAGAAGAACATTCATATTACTAACTTCTTTTGTGTGGTTGGTGATGTGATAAATACTGTTGGTGTATCTTCTAAACGTTGTGATCTTCTTCGAGCAAAACAATTAGACTTTATTGTTGAGGTAATGGAAAAAGGTGAGATTTTAAGCGATCGGAGACTTAATCAAGAAACAGCCCTTCAACGTTCTGGTAATACACAATGGGGTTCACATTATAATTCATTGGTCAGCTTACTTGCGATGTTTTCTTCTGTTAGTGATGTGCTTGCAATGATTGTTGAAGATGAAGCTTGCTCTTGTGATCAAAGATCCGATGCATCAAATTTATTGGAGTCGATACATACATTTGATTTTGCATTTAATCTACAGTTGATGAGAAACGTCTTGGGGATATCAAATGAATTGTCGAAGGCATTGCAAAGAAAAGATCAAGATATTGTGAATGCAATGCAATTGGTGAAATTATGCAAACGACGACTCCAAATAATAAGGGACGAAGGGTGGGACTCTTTTTTTGAAGAAGTATGCGCTTTCTGTCAACAACATTATATTGATGTACTTGACATGGATGATATGTTTGTACGCCGTGCACTTCG